ACCTGCGTTGTACACTTGCTCTGTGGTGCGACCACCACCTGCGTTGTGCGACCATCACCTGCGTTGTACACTTGCTCTGTGGTGCGACCACCACCTGCGTTGTACACTTGCTCTGTGGTGCGACCACCACCTGCGTTGTAGCGGTGAGGCACGCAGCTGTTGCACGCAGGACACCCGAGTGAGGGGAATATTTATCAAGTATCTCTGTCTTTCTGCTGGGATGTTGTATATCTCTCAGCCTGGTTTTGAAGGACAGGGTGGGAGAAGTCTACCTCCTACGTGATCTAACTTGTGCCCACTGGGGTGTAAAGAACACCTAAAGGCTAAAAGAAAAAGATTAGTCCTGCTGAAAAAGACATCCAAATGATCATCACGTCTCTCACAAGATAAAAAAGTCTCACAACCCACCTGACATCTCAAACAACGGGCTCAATGAGACAAAACTAACACACCCAATAACTTGCAGTGAAGGGACATTATCCAACAGAAAACTGCCAATATAAAAAAAACAACCCCCCCCAGCCTTCACGCCCTGTGGCCACACTTGCCTCCCCTCAACAAACCCCTGCTCCGTCCCCTCAACAAACCCCTGCTCCATCCCCGACTATGGTAAGGGTCACTGTTGTAGACTGGCGTGCTTCCTTCTCACTGTTCACAAACTCCACAGCAGCTGAGCTGGCCAGTCTGTGAGGGGCAGTCCTGTGTCGTGACCCAGGACAATGTACTGACTAGGTTACTGGACTAACTTATTGACCTATGACACAGTGTGGACTAACTTATTGACCTATGACACAGTGTGGACTAACTTATTGACCTATGACAGTGGACTAACTTATTGACCTATGACACAGTGTGGACTAACTTATTGACCTATGACACAGTAAGAACTAACCTATTGACCTATGACAACTATGTCTCAGCCACAGACGTACAAGACGAGACAAGACTCACCCGCCTCATGATGGCGATCGACTCGGTGGACAGGAACCGTGGGTAGCGAACCTCCTCGTTGACGATGCTGTCAAACACTTCCTCCTCGTCATCACCGGGGAATGGAGACTGTGGGGGGGGGGGGAGAGAACAGTGCTGAGTCAGTGGCCACTTACTGGCTATCACAGAGCAGCTTCCCACTGGTGGTCTCATCTGTTCTTACTTTCGTCAGTTTTACAGCACTTGCAACACAATTAGGGGGGTGGAGGGGTGCGGGGAGAGAGAGACAGACAGACACAGAACTTGCCTC